TCTCAAGATGGATGTTATTTCTAGGCTTATTTATGCCATATTTTCATTGTTAACGCAAATCCTAAGTGTTTGATATACGTGGATTAATAGCAGACTAAAGAAATAATGCTAAGCGTAGAATCGATCGGAACGCCTAATCAGTATCACAGAACTGATTCACCACTGATAGTTGCGTTCACTTTATCAGACAAGATCCTTTCGAGATAGACTGATCGCACTTTTGACATCAAATGAATCATTTGTTAGTGTAGATGTGCTGCGTAAAAATCATGTTCGAAAATTTTTTACAAGACGTGCGAAATACATTATTGTCTTATGCATCTACAACTGTTGCAGTGTTGATGGGTGCTTTTGTGTTCGATAAAATTGATTCACAACATATCATTGATCATTTCGATCAAACATTACTGATTTCGCTCTGATAGTCTGTGATGCCATTTTCATCAATAGGTTAATTTTGAGTGTTGATGAGAAAATTTTGAGTGTCTGATAAATTGTAACAATTGAAATGAATATGAATCATTTTGTTAGTGCTGATGGAGCATTTGAATAAATTCCGAATAAGTTGAAATATTTTCGATATTTTGAAATGTGGCGACAATTGATAGCGATCAACAGATAGTTGCGGCCGATTTCAAAATTTGAGTATAACTCATGGTAGAATCGGATGAGAGGATCTATTCCATGCTTGAAGTTGAAACTTTCATGCATTAGGGGATAATCTTCTGATATCAAGAAGAACAGTGATCGATCAAAGATTCCTGATAGATTATCTAATGAAGGAAGATATGACTGAACAAAAACAGATAAATAAAGAATTGTTCACGGGAGCAAAACATGCAAAAACATAGTACTTCTTGAATTGTACTTGACAGCAATTGAACTCATAACAAAACTGACGAATCATCACGCGTAGTGGATGATTCAGTCAATATATCCGTATCCAGTTCACATATTGATCTAAAATCCAATCGATCCTCTTGATAAAAACGTTGGCATCCTTAAAACATTCCCAAGTTTAATGTAATAAAACTGATCATTAGTACCTCGTAAATGATAACTTATCTCACAGAGTTAAGATGAGAATAACACGAGCAGCACAACCGAGCACAAATCGCCCAACAAGCTTATCAATCGCTCGTACAATGGCGTAATAGTGCTGTGGGCTATCGATTGTGCCAGTTTACTCTTGACTATTGAGGTTCGTAAAATTATTATTACCGCAGTCTTAACCTCAATAAAATATTCGTATTTTTTGATACGAGTTAGTCGAATGCAAAACGGAGAGAGTTAATCGAAACTGAAAGCATTTTTCGAGTTGAAGTAATAAATCAGCAATAAATCTACAAGAACAACGGATGAAAGTGTATATATAGTATGGGGTAATAATAGATCTGCTCGTTTGATCGAATAAACAGCACAAATCAGCACAATCAAATCACACTTTGCGCTGATTCAATATGACAAATGGACAATGCAATTCATTTGCTGCACAGATGCAAAGAAATTCACATTCCAGTCGAAATTACTCCAAATTGATGGGAAACGGTCCCAAATCGAATGTGGATATTTCTTCCAAGCGAGCGAATTTTTAGCGATATAATATTTCATTATAAGTGATCCTCAGTATTGAACGTTGAATTAATTTGGATTCTTCCAAAACGAACTGATGGAATCAATTTGGATTATTGCACGGATTAATTTCGTTAAAAAGCTCGTGTCGCTCTTATATGGCCGTTTTTTTCTTTCCAAGCATTCATATGTTAGCTGAAATGACTGTTCATAAATTCACTTATGGGCACACTTAAATCATAACGTGCTATATCCGAGATTAGAATCCACGAAACGACAGAATCGCAGATGCTGAGAAACAAAGATGTGATGCAATACGGAGTATTAAACGCAACGAGCAATGAACCACTCACTGCTCATCAATTCACATATGATCAGCAAATCAGGCGTTATCGAAGTCATTCTGGCGAAGAATCGAGTTGCTGAATATTTGATAGTCCATCCTTTTGCAGAATTGCGTGACAATTCACAATTTTTTGATAGCCTTGAATAACTGAGATTGTGTTCCATCAAAAAATCATATGCATGCAGTTAACGGGTAGTGGTTATTGTTAGGTGTTACGAATTATAGGTGCATCGCTAAATATAATGTTGCATTTGCTTTCCAGCTCCTATCCCTAACCATTTGTTCGCCTTGTGAATCGGCATTGACTGTGCTCTTGAAATTAAATGAATTTATTGGGCACTATTTTGAGACAATTATGGATAAATCTCCGAATATCAGGTAGCAATTGCATTCTGACTCCTTTCTCTAACCAATTGCTCCCCTGTCAATCAGCATTGGCTACGCTCTTAAAACTAAATGAATTCACTGAGCGCTAGTTTGAGATGATCCTAAAGCTCAACTTCAAGCACTTTAATGAATGTTTCTGTTTTTCAGTTATGAAAGAACATGAACTATATAAAAAGCACCAAATTCTAGGAGCTACCAAGCTGCTACACTCGAAGTAGCACAAGCTCTATCCAAACGATTGTCATTCTGTTGGTTACAGTAACAAAAATATTGATTTCCACTCATTTTGCATGTGATCTTTCATGGCCTTTGTGAATCACTTTTCGTCAGTGTTGCAAAAGTGAGTTTGTCACTCCGAAAGAGTGCAGCAAATTAAAAATGCAATGAACAAGTGATATTTTGAGACGGCGATTCATTATGATTTCATAAGATTGCATTTATTAGAAACGGAAACATAAAATTGTACAATATGCACTTATAAGAATACACGAATTACAATGAATTAATTCAGAAAACACTACAAAGGTATCAATACATCAAACAGGAACAGCGATGAAACAATGCAGATACGATCACAATGAACCGATACAATTAGGGAGAGATTCACTGAACGTTAACCAAACAATTACCGACAAATCGGCAGTTTCTGAAGAGTCGACGACGGAAAGCTTTGTTCACGATGATTGAAAAACAATATTCTTCCTCTTAAGAACTGACTCAATAAAATGCATAATGTCAGATCGTGCATTGTGCTAACATTCAATATAACAAAATCGCTCTTTTGTAGACATCAATAATATTAATAAAAATATTTAACAACAATAATGACAGTATCAATATTACCT